CAACAACAACAACAACAACAACAACAACAACAACAACAACAACAACAACAACAACAACAACAACAACAACAACAACAACAACAACAACAACAACAGCAAGTACTAAGTACTATCCTATCATATACCACCCAAGCCAAAAACAACAGTAGTAGTAGAAGTACTAGTAATTATCCGATTCACCCTCCCACTTTACACACGCGCCCTCGCTCTCCCCCAGCCCCAAGCCCCAGCCACAGCAATGGTAGTAAGGTACGATACGGACGGACGGAATAAACCAAGCAGCAAACAGCCAACAAGCTCCGCGCCCCACCCAGTCCAACCCATCCAGCCCCAAGCAAGAGGAGAAAGAGTACCTAGGGACATGACAGGGAAAGGGGACAAAGACAGCCGACAAACAAGAAACAAACAGGAGCAGGGGAGAGACGATTACTAACACTAACACTACCAGCGACGACGACTACGACAACGGCAACGACGGCAACAGCACCAACGCGCTGCACTGTATTGATTGCACGAGCAGTAACGACAACAACGACGACATCTCATCATCCGCAGCAGCAGCCACAGCAGCAGCAGCAGCAGTTTCTTCCTTCGCCCCCATGCACCCGCCCCACCCACCTACCCACCTATCCCAAGAAAAGGGCAAAGAGGAGAGGAAGAGGAAGAGGAAGAAGGAGAGGGATTAGAAGAGAGGAAAGGACAGACACAAACACAGGCACAACACAACACAGAAAGCAAGCCATCAAGCCATGAATCCAGCCATCAACATCAAACCATCAAGCACACACACACACCACGCGCCCACCAAGCATCGCATCATCCAAAGAGACAGACAGACAACAGGCAGACAGACAGACCGGAACGATATAAGTTTCCCCCCGTAAATGCTTTTTATGATTCGCTCATCTCTTTATCGCTGAATAAGTAGGTAGGTAGGTAGTTGGCTGGTGGTCGTGGTAGCCAGCAAGCCAATCAAGCCAGCAAGCCAGTCAAGCCAGCAAGCCAAGCAGCCGAAAAAACGAAACCCGACAAATAAACGAGACAAGATCCAAGCATCACTACTCCTACTCCTACTATACTACTACGACAAGGGGCAGCATGCAGCACGCATGCATCGGCAGCAGCAGCAAAAGCAACGGCAGCAAGGCAAAGCAAAGCAAAACAAGGCAAAGCAAAGCAAAACAGGGAGGGCAGCAGCAGCGGCTACTACGCGAAGCAAGACGAGGCAAGGCAGCACACTAAAGAACAAGCCAGAACCATAGAAAAAAAAGTGAAGATGGAAAAAAACGACACAATCAGAAAGAAGAAAGTGTAAAAAAAAAAAAAAAAAAGTACCCAATTTCATGTCACTATTCGGTATCGCAGCCTGGGGCGTGTCTCTCAAAAAAGGTCGTCGACGGGTTTAAAGAAGGGTAGTGGTGTGGTTGGTTTGGTCACCTGCACACGCGCCGCCGGAGCTAGCTTCTCTCCCTCCGGACGGCGGCGCTGCGAGAGCGGTAGTAGTGGTGATGGTGGTAGTATGGTAGTAGTGTGGTGGTGGTGGCGGTTTTCTCTACATTTCGTAGCGTCATTCGTCGTGTACGTCATGAAAGCCCAACGCACGATTGAGCTTCTCCGTTAACTTTGCTTTTTCTTTACGGCCGTTCCTTCTTTATTGGGGCGTTTGCGTGCTTGCGGGCATACGATACTACGGGGGCATGCAAATGGGCGTTTTGCGGGCTCGCGCACCAGCGACGTGATCTACTCCACCACTATCTCGACGCCTGATGTCGACGAGAGCTCGTCGCTGCCGCGGCCGTGGTGGCCGTTCTGCCTGCCGCGCGAGAAGCCCGAGCCGCGGTCGGGGATCGGGCCGCGCGGCTGGCGCGAAGGCAGGCCCTGGCCGGCGCGCTCGCGGCTCGCCTCGCTGCCGTCGTAGTTGGTGCTGAACGACCTGTGACCACCAATCGGACCGGGGTTGTTCTCGCGGTCCCAGGATGTCATACCGCGAAGACCGCGGGGGCTACCGCTCTGACCGAAACCACCACCCAAGCTCATGCCGTTCAGGCCGTTGACGAGGAGCGACTCATCCCTGGAAGCCATCGAGGTTGCGGTGGGGGTGAGGCTCGGGTTGGACGTCGAATTGTGGCCGTACTCCTGATACCGGTTGTTGTTGTTGTTGTTGTTATTGTTGTTGTTGCCCAGACCGCCGCCGAGGGTTGCCGGGAAGCTAGCGGTCGAGGGAACAGGAGAGGGCGTATAAGAGCGCAGGTCGGCGTAGGACTTTGCCGCTCTGAGGTTGGGCGCGGCGCTGAGGCCGCTGGGGGAGTCAGGGAAGCCGAGGAGGCCGGACGACTGGCGACCAAGGGTGCTGTTGTAGAAGCTGTCCCGGACGTCGCTGAAGTCGGTCGTCGCGGCGCGGTTCAGGCCCCGGCGCTGAGCTTCCAGAGGGTGGCTGGTAGGGGCCATTTGTGCCATAGGAGGGCTCGTGTTGGGGTCCGGGTACTTGTACACGTGCACCTGGCGCTGCTCGCCAAGTCCCTTGGAGTTGTGGGAGAGGCCCATCTGGTGGGCGATGGTGTGGCAGACGCGACGCTGAGCGGGCGACAGCGTAGAGGGGAATGCCATGGTGTCCCTGCCTGGATCCTCCTTGAACAAAAGCAGCTGCGAGTAGAACTGCAGAACCTGAGGGTCGTTCATATCAATTTCCACACCGCCATTGGTCTGCGCGACCGAGAGGTCGAAATAAGCGCTGCCTGGCTTCCTCCCGTTGACGGGCGATGGGGAAGTGGCCGGCGGAATATGCGAGGACATGGACGACAGCGACGGCTGGTTGTGCAGCGAAGAGTTGCCCATGGGGCGGTGCTGCTCCTCGAGTTGACCCCTGCGCTCGCGCTTTTCCCGCTCAATCCGCTCTCTTTCGGCCAGGGGCAGCATTTTCTTGTACTCGACGCGCAGCTTCCTCCCCTGAAGCTCAAAGTGGTTCATTGTCTCAATGACGGCCGCCGTCTCGTCAGCCGTGGTGAAGTTTGCAAACGCCAAGCCGCGGAAGACGCCATTGTCAAAGTGGTAGTTGAAGGCGTAGGGCAGGGGCAGGCGCAGATCGGTCATCAGCTGCACAAGCTGCTCCTTCTTGACCGCAAACGGAATGTTTTTGATGACGATGGCCGTGGGGATCAGCTCTTCGTCCGTCTCGGAGTAGGCGTCCTGCCGCACGGGCGGCTGCCCAAGGCCGAGCGACGAGTTTCCGCCGAGACCAGAAAAAGTGTTGAGGGACGGCAGCGGCTGCGACTGGTCAAGCCAGGTCTGCGAGGAGCACGTCAGAAAAAAATGCGAAAGTCGCCGGGGAAGGGGACGAGGGGGGAGGGAAACGTACCGCCGGCAGAGCGCTTCTTCCCGGGCGCGCTTGGGGCTTCATCCTGGTCGTCGCGTTTATGGCGGCGAGACTGTTGTTCTGGCCGAAAGCGCCCGCGTTCCACGCCTGGTTGCCTCCCAGCTCGTAGCCACCATAGCCCGCGTGGATGGTCGCATTCAGGCGGTCGTTGTAGCCCCGCGGGGCGTCATAGCGGTCCTCGGCAGCAGCGTACATGCCGGGGTTGGCGAGCTGACCGTAGGCGTCAAACTGACGCGACGGCTGGCGGTGCAGGGTGGGTTGTTGGTGACGATGCGCGCCCGGCGAGCGGGAGGCGGGGTTGTCATAGTACATGTCGTGCGGATGGTTGCTCATTCTTCAGGGGGTGGTGGGGGTGGGTGGAGCGGTGAAAGGGAAGAAATCGTCGTCGTCGTCTCGTCGTCGTCAAATTCTCACGTAGAGGGCGCGTGGTGCATGCGAGAAGGCGGAGGGGCGGGATGCACAGTTAGCTGGCGATGCAGGCGGGCGTGGCGTGGCACTGCGGTCGGCGAGCAGCGCACAGTGAGAGAAGAAAGTCGCCGTGAGGAAGAGAGAGAGAAAAGAAGAGAGAGAAGAGAGAGAGCGATGTCGAGCGAGGTGGCTGACTGACGACGGGGTGGAGTGGAGTAGTTGGCTTCCTTGTTTCGGCAGGCTTTGGTAGTGTTAGTGGGCGGTGGAATGCGCTGGTGCTCTCGCTACGCAGCAGTGAGGGCGGGAGCGCGTTAGTTAAAGCGCATCGCCGCCTTCAGGAGAGGTTCATCTCGGGGAGCCTAATAACAATGCGCGCGCGAGCCCCCCTAACGCCTGGACGGGGTCCCATAAAAAAAAAGAGAGCCGGACGCCACGGCCGCCCTCAACAGCAAAACTGCAGCAAGAGCGGTCGGCCTCTGCCCACAGGCTGCACGCCGCCCCAAGGCCCTGAGTCCTCAAAAACCCGGCAAATGGCAGCCCAGCGCCCTCAAACAACCCGTGGCCCGCCGCGCCGTATCGGGCCGCGCCAGCTGCACAAAGGCCAGGGAGCGTCAGAAGCTCTTTCGACCTCTCTTCAACTTAATTCCAGGGGCTTTTCCGAACTCCGTTTGGCCTTCGACGAGACAATATTTCCTCCCACCCCCCCGACCCGTCGCACCGCATCGGGGCATCCATCCTCATTCAACCATCATCATCATCGTCATCGTCATCACCACCTATCATCACCGCCTACCCATCCTTTCCCAAACCAAGAAACTCCATCACTCATGACCCTGACACCTGACACTTCCCAACCAACCAACCAACCAACCCTCCCAGTCAAAAAAGCAATTTCACCCACACCCACAGACAGACAGCCAGACAGAAAAAAAGAGTCATTGAGAGAGAGAGAGAGAGAGAGAAACGACGGGGGGCCAGCCACTAGTAGCCACGATCCCAGAGATCCGATCGCCCCCGCCCGCTCGCTCAGGCAGGGCAGCAGCGGCACAGCTTACTACATACATAGCACGTACAGGCGACCCCGGGCGCGGGCGCATGGCCAGCAGCGAGCCAGCGTGCCTCGCGACACCCCTGCTGCAGGCGCGGCCGGTCATGTGACTGCGCCGAGGGAGGGGTGGTGGTGGGTGCGAGGATGCCACTGGTGGATGGCCCTAGGATCCTGTACTGTATGGGCTGCTGCTGCTGCTGAGGTAGGTGGTGCTTGGCTGCGCGGGCTGCTGAAGCCGTTCCTCCCCCCGGGCCCCCATGTTGATGGGTTGACGGATGCGCGGGTGAGCGAGGGGGACGCTGCCTGAATGGCCATGCGCGCGCGGAGCTGGGCTCCTGTCTGTGTCTGTGTCTGCGTGTGCATGCCTCGGCGCTGATGCTTGCCGCAGGGTTGCGCGATGCCGGCCAGCCAGTGCGATGGCTGCGTTGGATGGACGGATGCGATGAGCAGACCTAATATGATGCGCTGCCGCATGCGAGCCATGGACGGATACGACGGGCGCCATGCGATGCGACAGCGGCATGCTGCTGTAATCGCCGTTTGTGAAAGTGATACATCATGCACTGCCTCTATCTACACCAACCACTCACCATGCCCCGCGCCTGACCGCGAGCTCGCCCGAAGCCGTACACATACCTTGCTATACCTACCACACCTCAGTCCCGCCATCTCTCGTCTACAACGCCCGATCCCTTGCTCTTCACAGCAGCTCTGTCCCTCGCCCGCCATGGAAAACACACAAGCCCTTCCCGTCAGCGCCGCGCCACTAGGACTACTGACACAGGTCCTCCCGTGTGTATGAGCGACCGCACATCCCAATCTACCTCTCTACCCCATGCCATGTGCGAGCGCCCCGAAGTCCGACTTCCGGCCTCCCCGAGTTCCAGCCTAAACCCTAAACTCCAAACCTAACCACGACCACGGCCATGCCAATCATCACGTTCGCGCGCTTCCCGTTAGCACCTACCTACCTGCCCGGGCCCGACACCTCCCTCCCACACGCCATGTCCAATCCATGGCGAGACTAGCCACTCACTTCATCACGCGCCTGGACCGCCCGTCCTCACTAGGTACATACCACAAAAGCCAGCCAGTCTCCCAAGCTGCATGGACATAGCTCCGCCGTCAATCATGCACGCGCGTATGCACGCGTGCACACACCGCATCGACGACTCAAGGCCCAGCCAGGCGCTGGCGAGAGAAGCGCGTGAGCAAAAGTAAAAGCGAGGCGAGAAAGTGTGATGAAGCAAGAAGAAAAAAATCCATTGTCTACCGGCAGACAGACACCGCGAAGAGAGTGGGAAAAAGAGATCAAAGAAAGAGAGCCGTCCCGCTTCTCAGTTTCCTGCGACCACTCCGTCGTGTCGCTTGGTTTCACCCTTAGAAATCACCCATACCCCACCGCGCCGAAAGAGAAAGTGCCTCGTCGAGTACGCAAGCACGCACGCACGCAGCATCAAACAAACCAACGGGCAGAAAGGACTGCGATCCGGCCGGGACAAGGAGGAAAGGGCATGACCGCAACTTGCGAGGGCGAGAGGCAGAGGGCATGTCGGTGTGGCAGTGGGTCGTCTTTTCGTGCTCGGTGAGATACCATGCCAACGCCTCTTCCGCCTTCCTCGTTCGTTTCTTTTTTTTTT